ATTCTATTTTATTCTATTATTATTTATTCTATTTAATAATAATAATAATAATAATCATAGTCATCATCACAATAATAATGTATATTTTATTACACATTATATATAAAACAATAAAAATTTGATCTGTTAAATTATATTAAAATAATTAATGTTATTATTTATTATATAATTTTATAATACAACTACTACTAATAATAACAACAACAACAATCATCATCATCATAATAAAAATAAAATAAAATGTATTTTTCATTATACATTATATAAAATAACAAATAAATAGATCTGCTAACTTATACTAAAAATATTACATTTTATTATGTATTATATTATTATTTATTCTATAATTTAACAACAACAATAAAAAAATGTATAATTATTTTTTGTAGAATTTAACAGGTCTAATTTTTTAAAACAAATTAATGAATAAGTAAATAAATAAAAAATAAATAATGTTTATTTTAGTACCGTGTTCATTTACATTTAGTCATTTAACAGACGCTGTTCATAACGTGTTTGAAAATTTGAATCTTTGAAAAAAAAAAAATATATATATATATATTATACTGTATATTAATCTATATATACATTAATCATATAAAACGACACAGTAGAGACCCGTAACAGTACAGCACGATGTTAGCAATATCAAAGCCAAGGGTTCGATTCTTATGAAATGCATGAATTGATCACATGTATACTTTAAATGCAATGAAAGTCACTTATGATAGAAGTATCTAATGTAGAAAAGCAGCAGGTGTGACTGACGCACCTCTCCGGTGTTTGGGTTCCAGCACAGGATCCGGTTGTCTTTGCCGCTGCTCAGCAGAAGCTCCGGATCGGCTTGACTCCACGAGATGGACAGAATTCCTCTGGAAGATTGAAAAGAGTGCGCTCGTGAACTGAACGGCATGAGCTGAACCACACAGGGTTTGTGTCCATCTCTACCTGGTGTGGCTCTCCAGGACTTTGAGAGGCGAGGTTGCAAACCGAAGGTCCCACATCTGTATGACCGGAAGTCTGTCGTCCTCTGATGCCAGAAGCAGCTGAGTGGCCACATCTGGATGCCACAACATCCCCGAGCAGTGCATCTGACACACATCACACAGCAGCTTCAAAACTTTACATTGGACTGATGTTTTGGAACTTAACTCTTTCCCTCGCCATTGACGAGTTATCTCATCTTTTAGAAGAAAACGCTTCCACTGTTATACACTGAACGAGTACAAAACCTCCCGAACAAAAACACAGGTGAACAGTACGGAGAAACGAGCGATCTCTTATGTAAACAGATGCATATGAAAAATAATGCGATCATCAGCAATAGACAGCATATAAATGAAAACTGCATAAAATCGCTGGCGGTGGCTGGCAACTTTTTTCAAAAAATGCTGAGAGAGAGGAAAGAGTTAAATGTGACCCTGGAGCACAAAACCAGTCTTAAGGGTAAATTTTTCGAAATTGAGATGTATGCATAATCTGAAAGCTGAATAAATAAGCTTTCCATTGATGTGTGGTTTGTTATGATAGGACAATATTTGGCTGAGATACAACTATTTGAATATCTGGAATCTGAGGGTGCAAAAAAATCTAAATATTGAGAAAATCATCTTTAAAGTTGTTCAAATGAAGTTCTTAGCAATGCATATTACTAATCACAAATTAAGTTTTGATATATTTACGGTAGAAAATTTACTAAATATCTTCATGAAACATGATCTTTATTTAATATCCTAATGATTTTTGGCATAAAAGAAAAATGTATAATTTTGACCCATACAATGTATTGTTGGCTATTGCTACAAATATACCCCAGCGACTTAACACTGCTTTTGTGCTCCAGGGACACAAATTCCAGATGAATTAACTGACTTCACTGCATAATGGATCTAAACATTAGTGAATCTCATCAAAACTCCCAGGAAATAAAACTAACAATCTGTATCTGTAATATATTATTTTATATAAACCTCTTTTGCATATTAAATTAAGGCTAAAAATGCATAAAAATGTAGGACTCATTTTAGGATCAAGACATTGTGAAACTATATTCAGGATAATTAAACTCATATTTCCCTCCCGGATTCTCATTACCACAATGCAAACACAAAATCTTATTCGCATAACTGTAAAAAAATTAAAAAATATTTTCTTTATAAAAACTAAAATCTATTAACAGACACTTAATTTAAAAATGTTTTTTAAATGTTTTTTATGTCTAATTTGAGCCACATTGAGACATTCTGAGACTACTGTAATGACAATTAAACAAATATTTTCCTCCCAGATTCTCATTACCACAATGCAAATACAAAATTGTATTCACATTACTGTAAAACAAATAACTGAATAAATAAATTAATATTTTTATAAAAACTAAAATCTATTAACAGACACTCTTAATTTTTAGAATATTATTTTATAATTTATATAATTTTATTGTTTATTATATTTTGTTATATTATCATCATAAATAGGTCTGTTAAATTATACTAAAATCAATACATTTTACATGTTATTTTTTACATTTTATTCATTATTAAATTGTATAATATTATAGATCTACTAAATTAAACAAACAAAATAATAATAAATAAAATGTATTTATATTTATTTATAATAAATAAGCTTTATTGTTATATTTTATTATTATTATTATTTATTCAACAGTTTAATAACAATAATGCATATATATTTACTTTACATTATTATACATTATATATATATATATATTATATACTGTATATACACACTGTATATAAGTACATACATACACGCATACAGTAATGAGAATTAGATTTCTAAACTACACTAAAATCTATCTACCTATCTATAAGTGTATCTATTTTACGTATAAAGTACAATTGCACTGATTTTATTTTAAATGTCATGAAAATAAGTCCACTGTCCTCCTAAAAACAGGCTTCATTTTCTTCACGCAAAATATAAACTCTTGTGTTTATTTAGGATGTTGTGGTGAAATATGAGCCACAGATTCACTCGATCCTCAGAGTGGATGGCTGTGGATGTCCTCACCCTGTTGCTGTGGTCACTGATTTTGATGATGGGCTCGTTCTTCCTCAGATCCCAGACGATGGCCTTCCCGCTGGGGTTTGCAGACGCCAGTATGTGCTGCACCTGACTGTTCCACGCCACCACACTCACGTCCTCCGCCGGCTAACACACACACACACACACAGACACAGACACACACACACTGGATGTGAGAGCGATGGATATTGGATGAGAAGCTGAGAGGAGATCAGTGTGAGCTAGTGAAGTGTTGCTTTAGTTATGATCCTCATCTCTAGCACTAGTGTTTTGTTTTGCTCTGTCTCTCTCTCTCACACACCAGCATCTTCTGGAGCTGCTCCACCGTCTGATTGGCGACACTGATGCCGTTGATTTCACGAATCTCGTCTCCGATGTGCAGCGTCCCTGAGAAACGACAGCGTACGTGAGCACAGAGACAGACACACAGACACACATTCACAGACACACACACACACACACATTCACAGACACACACATTCAGACACACACACACACTCACACATTCACAGACACACACACACACAACACACACAGACACACGGAGAGAACAGCACAACACCTGAGACCTCACACTAAACACCGCTGACCAACAAAACACCCCAAACCCAGAACCAAACAGAACCCAAACAGACCGTCTCAGAACTGCTTTGTAGGTAGAAACCCATTGTTTAGTGAGCTGAGCGTTAGAGAAGAGGTTAATCAAAACCTAAACATTATAATAATTCAATTTTAAAATATATATTTAAATTTGAATTTTATTTAAAATATATATTATAAAACGGATAGTTCCGGTGCTTGATTCTGATTGGCTGAGCCACGTTCGAAGCTGTTGTAAATGACTCTACAAAGTAACACACACCTTTGTTTATGTTTGTGTGTTGCTCGGCAACCACTTTGTTGCAACCACAACTGTTTCTGAGGAGCTACATTGTTTGGTGGAAGAATACTGTTTTATTAATATCATTACACTTATTAATATCATTACACTAAGGGGGTTTTAGGCACTTCGCGTTGTACCTAACAACGCCCCTTAGCTGTTATAAATTCACTGTAAACCAAGGCTTCTTGGGGCTTATTGCTTTATTTTAATATTTAGTGACCTCATATATTTCTATACTCACTTAGCCATCCATTACAATATTAAAATATACATATTTTAATATTTAATGACCTCATATATCTATATATACCTATTTAGACACCTATTACAACATTAAAATATATTAATTTCAATATTTAGTGACCTCTAAATATATCTATACCTATTTATTTAGCCCCCCATTATAATATTAAAATATATATTTTAATATTTAGTGACCTCATACATATCTATAGCCATTTAGAGACCCAATATTAATATATACATTTTACTATTTAATGACCTCATATATCTATTTAGACACCTGATACAGTGAATTCATATATATCTATCTATACCAATTTAGCCATCCATCATAATATTAACATATACATATTTTAATATTTAATGAATCATATATCTATCTATACCCATTTAGCCATCCATTGTAATATTAAAATATATATATTTTAATATTTTGTGACCTCATACATTTCTATACCAATTTAGCCATTCATTATAATAAATATATACAGTATAT